TTGTTACAAAGACAAACATGACAATATTTACAAACATACAATATTTGAATTTAAGCAACATTCATACTATATAAGTATCTCATAATTCGGCGTCATAAAACTGAAATTAGATATTTTTGTTTGCTCTCTGAAGCTGCTTTGCCAATTAACTTCACTTGGCAGATATGAAATATGGAAGGTCCTCTATAAATGATACTAATTTGGTTCTAATCGATAAAAAAACAAGACCACCAAGAAATCTCTGTTTTTGCAAAATACTCATATTCGTGTAAAAAGAAAAGTAACTCCGAACTCTAAGGAAAATTCAAAACAGAAAGTCCTTTATCAAGTGGCAAAATCAAAAGCTGAAATACATCAAACGAATGGAAAACAACTGTCTTATTTCTGACTTGGTAGAGGCATTTCCTTATCTAAAAAATGGTGGATTAAACCTGGTTTAAAAGCTAGAAAAACCTCTCACTTGTATGACAGTCGCATAGCATTCCATAATATTGACAACAACGAGTGAGCAAAACAAACAGATATAACAGGTTAAAATGTCAAAAATTGAGGTACAGCAGTCAACATTGTGTTATAATCTTAATCACTATAAAAACAAATAACTATGTCAACAAAGAAAAACAAAATGGAATATAGACAAAGTACATTAGTAAAATGAAAGACAAGATATACAAAAAATGACCATAGCACAATAACACAATGGCGGGATGTATAAATACCGAGCCACGCCAAAAGTATATTACCAAAATGGACTAAACATTAAAGGTTAAAAATATACAAAGGCAAATAAAAAGAACACTTTAACACGTAATTAAGATGATGAATAACGTTAGCACCTAGAATCTATACTCCAAGACCATCATGTATAATTTGTGAAGTTGATACAGAATATTTATCAACAAGGTCTTGGTATCCTCCGATGAACTTTTTAAAAAAAAAAGGACGAGACGTTCTTTGACATTACCCTGGTTCATCAACTTTCTGCTCAGACAATGGTGACGCGAGCGCTTCATTCTAGAAATGTGCGCACGATCAACGCTTTTACACCCCTATAAAGTTATAATGAGAAGCATTCAATTCTTATAATTACATTACATGCTACAACCATACAATTAAGAGTTATATGAAGCTTTTCGTTTGTTTTACTATGCATTGTTTTAACATTGTCACGGATAGCACGTGCAGTCATAGCTGTTGTATTTTATACGGAAATAAAATTCAATATTCGAGGGCTCCGCGATTGTTTGTCAGCCAATCAAAACTACGGATTCTAATGAAACATACATGTCATGTAATTTATATACACGAATAAAGCATGCAAGACACAAAAATCATACAAACACAAACAAAACACATAAAAAAACACATTTGATATTCAAAGTACATATTTTAAAAAGCATGTAAAACATGTTAAGTAGCAGATCAAAAGCAAACAGAAATTTTAAGCATGCAAACATAATCATTCAAAGCAAATAAACATGACTATGCATGAAAATATCACACATAAAGCAGAGAGCATCACATATTTGGATAATGTTTAATAATGAAATATTTAATATTATACCTTCAGGGTAACTGAATTACTAGTACTTTAAAATAGTGACGTGATACCCTATAGGAAATTGTCAAGTCACATAGAGACAATGTGGTGATATGGATGAGCAAATGCAAGATAAACAAAGGGTAAATGACGAAAGTGAAGAAACCGGAATGATTGACGGTAACAAAGAATATTCCGGATTCTTTCAAGGGGAGGTTATCAACAGACAAAGAATTCAAACTACGTTTTTTCAATATGGATATTCTTATGCTAGGCATTTATTGTACTGGTAAATACAAAAGTTATGTTATATGGACAAGGTTTTTTTGATGTTTCTGTCAACCATGAGAAAACAGGTGCGAAGATATCCACTGTTTAAATAACTCATTATTATCTGTTCTACGACTAAAGTTAATGACATGACGATGTAATGTTTACTTTTATAAAAACAAATATGCTAGATTACCATGTTTGTCAAATATTCTAATGATGACATATTTGCGACTTAAAAACAACAACTTTGGCGACCACGCTATATTACATGCATCAGTAATCATTTATCAGTAAACACTAATTTTGAAATGATTCAAGTCTTATTTTGCATTTGTATTCCCCTTCCTTTGTCCGTGTTTTTAAAAATAGCTCAAGAATAAAAACAAGTATGTTTTCTCCCATTTGTTTTATAAAAATAAGGAGATGAGGTATAATTACCAATGATACAACTATCCACCAAAGTTCAAATAAAGTGGATGTAAGCAATTATAGGCAACCGTACGGCCTTCAACATTGAGAAAAATCCATACCGGCTATAAAATGCCTCGACATGAAAAATATGAAACAATCCAATTGAGAAACTTAACGGCCTCATTTATAACAAAACAATTAACGAAAAATAAATATGACAGACATGAACCAACGACAACCACTGAACTACAGGCTCCTGACTTCTTTATTTAAATGTGTATATCTATATTAGATCTACATGTATCATAATGCAAAAAGTTACAGTTTTCTTTAAGTACATCGAATGTACTTCATGGCAAGATACTATATAATATTTCATTATGTTCCCTGTTATTGTTGTATTATATATTTTCATTAAGTTAGTTATCTACCTTCAAGACAGGCGAAGCACGAATGTGGCCACGATAAGATAGAATTATTAAGTTTCATAAAATTTAACGAACTCTATTCTTCCATCCTTACTAATTTTTAAATTCCATACAATTGTAACGGATTTTCACTCATAATTTTAGACATAGTAGATAAAGGGGAAAGTTTAAAGCAAATCTGATAAATAGTTAAAATATATGTTGTGAAGAATTGTACCATGGAGTTTCAATATTTTTTCATTATCATTGCCTGGCTAAAGATCAGATAAAAGTTTAAAAATCATGCTTGAAAATTAACTTTTTGCTTTAAGGACAATTTGAGTGGGATAAAAGCAGTCTGAATTATGAAACACAACAGTGTCAAAGTACAGAAACTCGCAAATGATTTAGTACCACAGTTAATATCATTACTACAACCGGAGTAACTAAAGATTGATAAAACTATTAATAACATGGTTGTATAAAAAGTAATTATAAAAATTGAATACTGCTTTTTATAATTTTATAGGGTTGTAAAATCGTTTATCGTGTTCACTTTTTTATATGGAGCGCTTCCCCAAATCATAAAGCTCCATATTAGATGAAGGTTGGACATAGGTGTACTATATTTATTGATGATCTGTTCGTATTGACTGTCAGTGACATCTGTTACAGTGAATAAATAAGTATATAAAATAATAACAGGAATCAATGAACTTTTGACCCTTCGATCTTATGCATCAAGTGGATCAATTTTTCAATCAAGGTTTAACAAAAATATTTAAGAATGGACCAAAAAAACGATGTTTTATTGTAAAACTTCAGAGGAAGAAGAAGTAACAAGAGTACACACGCTGAAATGTCTCGCCTTCTTTACTAACCATTGATTTTATGTTGATAGTCCTAAATACAAAGCTTTACTACATGTAACTCCTGTGAGACTGACATGTACATCATAAATTATTTCCATACACCATTTATAGTTGACCTATTGCATATAGTATTAGAAAAAAAGACCAAAACTCAAAAACTTAACTTTGACCACTGAACCATGAAAATGAGGTCAAGGTCAGATGACACCTACCAGTTGGACATGTACACCTTACAATCATTCCATATACCAAATATAGTGGACCTACTGCTTATTGTATCTGATATAAGGACTTGACCACGAAAACTTAACCTTGTTCACTGATCCATGAAATGAGGTCGAGGTCAAATGAAAATTGTCTGACGGGCATGAGGACCTTGCAAGGTACGCACATACTAAATATAGTTATCCTATTACTCATAATAAGAGAGAGAAACATTACAAAAAATGTTGACTTTTTTTCAAGTAGTCACTGAACCATGAAAATGAGGTCAAGGACAATGGACATATGACAGACGGAAACTTCGTAACATAAGACATCTATATACAAAGTATGAAGCATCCAGGTCTTCTAGCTTCTAAAATATAAAGCTTTTAAGAAGTTAGCTAACGCCGCCGCCACCGCCGCCGGATCACTATCCTTATGTCAAGCTTTCTGCGACAAAAGTCGCAGGCTCAACAAAAAATGGCATAAAAAATGAGAACCGTTATGAAAGTTGTAGAATAACTAATATTTCATTTCTAGCTGACATAGATGTCTTTCGTAAAGATTATGATACATCCAATGCAGCGAATGTCATTAAAACAAATGTTGAACCGTTCTGGGAGCAAGTGTCAAAGGATCCTATATTTACACGGAAATGTATTGTGTTTGTTACGTTGTGTTTTGGAATGGCGACGGTGGTAAGTAAATTGCATTATTTCCACAAACCTTATGTAGTACCCACAAGTAGAAGAAGACACTATATGGAATCAAGAATAAAAATGAGAACGGTAATATGCAAAAGATTATTCTGTCTTTATCATTCTGCCATGGTAATATTGGACTTCAATCTAAATGAAGTTCAAGTTTTGTTGTATTTCATTCCATTCAATTTATACCTACAATATTTAATATTCGATAAAATACTCCTTCAACTTTGTTTTTGTTTAATTAGAGATGGGTTATGGGCCAGCTTGGACCTTCCTTATTGGATCTTCGGGAAATAACAGACAGTACTTTAGAAGAAGCTTCTTTGTTTGTAACAACAACTTTCATTGGTTATCTATGTGGTGCATTGATAAGTGGTGGAATATTCGAACGAATGAATGCATTGTTGATAATTTTAATAAGCCTTTTACTAATGGCATCTACAACAGCTGCAATACCTTTTTGTGTAATGTATGAAGTAATGGTATTAATGCACGTCTTTAAAGGAATAGGAGCTGGTTTATTGGATGCAGGTTTGTATTATTATAATCATATAACGAAAAAAATTAATACAAAAAATCATTTAACAACAGTTAAGGAATAGTTTAATGAATAAATGGTAACGCATATAAAATATAAAAAACATCACGACTCTTATCAATTTTTTTATTTTCACGTGCTTCACGTGCTCTGTGTTGATTGTTTATCAATGTCACGATCTGGTAAACTTCGGCAACACACTCGAAAGTTACTAAGCTTGCGATCAACATCACTGAATGTAATATGATGTGTCGATAATACGTTATATGTTCGTTAAAAACGACCATTACAGGACTTAGTTTAGTATATATGCATGTATTGGTTAAATAATTTCGATATGTTTGTTTTTTGTAATAACTATTTTGATAACATTGCTTACAGTGATACCAGAAAAACAAACATGCCATCGCAAAAGGAAAGTCTTGTTTTTATCTAAATGTTATCATACTTGACCAATGCAAAGGATTGTAAAACTGCATCATTTTTATAACGTTTTATAACGTTTATTATGGTTGATATTTGCAACCGAAAAAATTCTTAAAAAAATGAAATTGGTCTGTATACATATCCTGAGGGCTGTTGTCTTTTCGTTGGTTATAAGTATTTGGCATAGTATAGTCGGTTTTTCATCGACATATGCTTAAAGATTGTCACTGTGATGTCTTCAGTCTCTTTTTCTCTTAACCCATGTTCCGTTGGTTGATAGCGTTTGATTTTCGGTATTTTCGTTATACTTTTTTTCTCCCTACGAAGTCTGCAAAATCTTACAACGACTCGGCAATTTCCTATGCCTGTTTGAATTTTTGAAGAAGTTACGTTACTCTTAACATCCAGTATACAAAAAGGTAGAAGAAAAGCCAATTTGGCGATCAAAGACAGAATAAAATAATAAATAACATCAGATAATATCTGTGGTGACATACATAAATGTATTAATAGAAAAACAAACTTAACAAAATTGACATAAAAACCGAGTAAACAGTCGTAATACTTTATATTATGTTTACAAAGCAACTTCGTAGGTGCCCTAAAAAATGAAGATGAAGACCTTGACAACTTTAAAAAAACATATATAAGTCAATGATTATGCAAAAATCTCCAAAGTCAAACTTGTAAATTCGACAAATACCGAACGGTACCCCACAGGCACTTGTCTCTAAACATTTTCCTATATACCTTTAAGGGACACTAGCTACGAGATATATAAAAAATATAAAGTATGATTTATTTTTGTTCAATCATTAATGAAAGTGAAATAGTGAAATAATATATCGCTTTTAGCAGCCAGTATAGTTCAATTTTGTCAAAATAAGCTAAGAAACATTGATGATGAATTATTCACTTGCGAGTGAATAATTCGACCTCATGGAATCCGTATTCATGTGAACTTCAATTTAACCCCTTAGCTAGAGATGGATACCGCATGCATTGTGCGTGTTCAACCATTTAAAGGAAAAGAATGTCAACATTGAAAGTGAAACAAAGGTAAATCATTTGATTGACCGATTCGATCCACAAAAAATCATTATGATACAGGTAAAAACGATGATTAACATATATTTTTAATCTATAATATGAAATTAAACAGACATAGAAAAATATAAATGCAGGAGTCTGATATCTATTTATATCTATATTTATGTTTATATCGCTTATATGGCAATTGAAGGTCTTTTGGGGTCAACTCGACAGTTAATTAGATGGCGTCTACACTAAAATACATACGAAACGAAGCTACATATTATCGAGTCCATGGCCGGTATATTGTTTATTTTAGACATTTTCTATAATTTGGATAAATGTTTCACATTGTTATAAATCAAATATGAGAATTTGAGTCAAATCGGTGAACATGAATTTGACAGCTAGTGCCCCTTTAATATAACATCAAGGTATATAGGAAATTTTTCTCGGAGACAAGTGCCTGTGCGGTACCGGTATAGATGTTAAGAATAAAGGAAATAAATACACGCAGGAGATACACAAATGTAAAAAAGGAAGACACTTGCATTACTAAACTGTTAAAAAAAATATTGAAACAAATGTATGTCACTTCTATGCAGAGGTAATGTTCACCCTTAACATAAAAATAGAGGAAAACAAGATATTTTGTATTGCTTTGTCCGCATGTATACTCGAGGAATGTAAATAATCAGTTATATTTTTAGTTGTATCATTTCTGATATTTAGTTTTTAATGGTTTGATTATGTCTTTTGGACTTGGGAAAAAATGTTTAAGCATGATTGGGTTCGTATTTTACTAGGAAATGCATTTTGAATTTTAACGACCATTTTGTTCTAAATAAATCTTAAAAACTGGACACTGATTAGTCTTTCAGTCATAATTTACACAGCGGTATATTCAGTACATTTCAAACACTTTGTAAGCGGTCAATTCAGATCTGTACATTTTCACAGTATCAAGTGTCATCAATTAACCTGTGCTAAAACTTGGTGCGTTTGAAATGCTTTTCTGGGTTTACCTTTATAAGAAACATTCATACCTAGAAAAATGAAAGCCAGTTAAATTCAATTACTTGAAGAACGAACCGACAGATCTTAACACCAATGGAAATGTCTGAACAACAATGAATCAACACGAATGAAAATATATGAGAAATAGTTTAAAATCTTTCAAGGTTTAACAGTTTTGTGGTCTGAAATTTCAGTTGTCTTTAGATGAAAACAGCACTTAATTCTCTATTTTTGCATTAGATAAAAATATTCATTTGCTTGTTTTTTTTTTCAGAAGCATACTCATCAGTATTTTCACTGCCTGCAACCATGTTATCATTCGAAAATAATATTGAAAATAATATTTGATAAATATAGGTTTTTGCATAGATATTTATGCTGATATTAAAATGGCGACAAAATGAGCATACAGGTTAAATTATGACATGGTTATCTAAGTAGAATGATTAAGAGATCTCAAGCAAACAGAATATTTCACTGATCTATCTTTTAAAGAACATCGTATTATTTTATACAAATTAGTTTTATGAGACTTTATTTTCTGGTACATCCTGCATAAGTACTGACCGTTCAGGACTAGAATCTGCATCAATTTTGATTTCTTTATTAGACCTATCTGTATTTTCGTTCAATTGTGGAAGTTTCTTTTTAAGAAGAATTGCTATCACAAAGAAAATTATTACTCCTACACTTTCTCCAAGAAGTATATATGAATACCACATCGGACTGACTTCTTCAATCAAATATCCTAATGCCGCTGGACTTGTTATAGACCCTAAAGTTGATGTCATAATGAACAATGACGCAATTTTACCTGTAACCAATAAAAAGTCTTCTTCTGCCCACGTGAACAAAGTCGGGAATAATATAGACATAGCAAATCCAGTCACAGCATTAGAAATCCATACGGTAACAGGAGAATTTATCATAGGTGAGAATGATAACAGCAGAAACGATATCACGAGTATAAATGAATATATACCAATTAAAGGTATTGACTTAACTATATTGCTTATGGGGATTCCAGACAATCTTCCAAATGCAAAGAAAGTCCAGAATACGGCTGTCACATATGATCCTTCTTCTTTAGTCATGTTCATCTGTTCAACACAAAATGTTGCCACATAAGCACCTATGGTGTCTTCCATCGCAGTGTATAGTAGAAATATTATAGACATTATAGTCAAAATTACTAATTTGACAGGAAAAGATAAGCGACGTTCATTTCGATCAATGTTTACCTCATCGGTATGCAGTTTGGCTAGTCTTCTGGATTTAATATAAACAAGCAAAAACGATACAGATGAAGACATGGCAAGAACACCTGATATTGTGTATGGAATATATATAAGTGAATTCTTTTGCGTATGAAACGTGGAACTTCTATTCAAAGTCGTTATATTATTCATATGAAATGAAATGTTATCTGTGCGTACATTTTCAGTCTGCATAACTAATGAAGATTGGTTTATCATAGACGAATTTACTCCATTATCATATTGTTCTGTGAGAAATGGTGCCGTGACTAAAGGACTAGCTATTCCCCCTGCAGCAAATGCAAAATGCATGGCCTGCATATAAGGACTGACTTGATTTCCGAATAGACTCAAGAGCTCTGAATTTGCAACTGAAATGTAAAACAATACATTAAATTTTAATCAATTTATAATGATCTTTTTTACAGTATTTCATTTTCCATGGAAATATACTCGATATTGGTACGTAATTCTAGGTTTATCCAAAAGATTATATATAAGAGCTTGTATTATATCAGTTGTAAGAGAAACAGACTTTAACCAGTTAATCAACTTGGATTACTAGTAGATTAACAATAATGTGAAAGCCAGAATGTTGTGTATATCGTGGATTTCATGCGATGTTTACAAAAACAATATTCTTGTAAATCCAAGCAGACCTTCAACAAAGGAGTTAGTGATTACAGGAGTGATACCGCATGTCAACCAAAAAATCCTCTCTGTTAAATCTATTTGTATAGATGGTAACACTGAGAGGGATCTGTAAAGGGCAAATATCACTGATTTCAAATCTCGATTTGACATTCTGAAAGAGAAGAACGAGAAAATATTCGGCTCCGGAACCGGAAAGTGCATAGGAAATCTCCCAAGGGTACGAATAGATATTATAAAGTTTTTCACCTTATTCACATCTTTTAATGTCTTTTTTTCCTCAATCGATTGAGTTGCAATTTTCAATTTGAATTGCATGAAAGATTTAAAAAATCATTTCACATTGAAACATGCAACAATCTAGGTTATCATGAACATCCATTTGATATGCACTTTTATAGGATGTTGAACTGTTTAAATCTACATTTTCACATCCAAGTGTAGGTGCACGATCAGCCCTCTATCAATATCATACTTTCGAACATTTGTCTCTTGCTTTTTTGGGGCGTCGTTGGCTGCTATAGGATGTTATGTCATAACTCATTTATGCGCTTACAAGGAATCTAATAAACCAAGTGCTCAAAGGGGTAAAGTTTTTACTTACATGAGCAACACGACGGTGCCACATATTGAGCAGGAGCTGCTTTCCCTTCAGGAGCACCTGCGACCACCCCTATAATTTTGTTTTAAAGGGGTTCGTGTTGCTCTTGCATAGTTATACGTGTTATTCTTTCTGCTTTTTTTTAATTTTTCAATGTTTGTGTTGTTTATACCAGTAACAGTCTCACCTATCCTTTGTCATATTCGTCCTGAACATGCATGAAATTTTTGCCATTGAAGGTTAAGCAACCAATAATCAATCAATCATAAAAAAACGCGCAAGTTTCAGGGATAGAAAATTTTACATGACCATTGGGTTAGAATTTAGTGATGTCTTAGGGTTAAATAAGAGTCAATTACCAATCTACTATTGCATGATGTCTAATCACTTGATATAAGTTATCAACGTAGTTTATAGGAGTAACACGACGGGCGTCACATGTGGAGCAGGATCAGCTTACCCTTCTGGAGCACCAGATATCAACATCGGTTTTTGGTGGTGTCCGTGTTGCTCAGTCTTTAGTTTTCTATATTGTGTTTGGATACTGTTATTTGTATTTTGATAGTTTTTCAAGGGTTTTTTGTCATGGCATTCATTGTCAGTTTGTTTTCGACTTATGAGTTTGAACATCCATTTGGTCTCTTTCGCCTCTCTTTTATGTGAATGTATAGAACAAAACATGACTTTTAATTTCAAAATAACTACGGTTGTTACTGCTAAGGTGCAAAGTTCATCTTAACTTTCCATCTCTATGTCCTTTTTAGTTTTGACACTGTGAAATGCCGTATAAGTGATGTTTTCAAGACAGAAAAACCCCGAAAAAACCCTTACGTATATCTGATGAAAACAAGTGTCGTGTGCAATCTGTATTATTCGCTAAGTGACAAGTCTTCTAAATATTTTTTAATGGACTTACCTGTATCTAGAAGGCCTCCTGATAGGCCCCTTATTGCCTGCGCTACTAACATCATTGATGACAGGAAACACCACGGTATGGCGAATACAGAAATGCCATAGATGCACATCGTTACCAACAACAGGAAATTGCAATCACATCTACCAATCAGAACCCCGCTTATCAACGAACCAATCAGATACCCTACATTATGTGATATGTAGTACAATGATGCTCCCTCTAAATCTGTGTTAGTGATGTACTGCAAATCGAAAATTGATGGCCCAAATTGTCCAAGGATCCATCCCTAAATACAACAAAATATACATTACTTCGTTTTCCGCGGTTGTACCTGGGGATAGCATACTTACAATATATATAGTATGTCCCAGGTTAGACTAAGTTCAAAGAGACAAGGAAAACTTCAAACAACTTAGTTCTAATTTTATATATAGACTGACATCTTCCATAATAGACATAATTTTTTGATGCACACAGAATAACCATACATTGTCTCAAAATACATATTTTATTTGACTAATCCAATACAATTAGTTAAACATGTCAGCTGAATCGATATGACAACGAGTAATGAGCCATGCTCACCTCCACTATTAACTGGAGATATTTTTACCATCCTACACTTGCTTGAGCATCAAACTCTCAGCACGGAAAAGAAATTACAAACTCGTAATAAGATAGAAGAAATCCAAAAATGTGGAGCATGTCGAGAAAACAACCACAACAACAAAGACTCGGAAAAGGTCATCGAAAGCCAGGGCTGACAGAAGCAAACGCCGTCTTGAAGCATTCATAGCTAGGAAATCCATGCCATCGATTAATGAGATAGAAAATACCGCTCACAAAGAAGACCTAGATAATGACCCCGACGCCGTTAACACCATCAACACCGGTGAGCTGGTAGAGACTAACACTCAACCCCCAGAAGAATCAAACGCAAAGGAACAGCCGGCAGAAACTTCCCTCGTAGACAGAAACCTACCCTGTGCGAAACCTAAAGATCCCGACTGCTTAACAGGTGCCGAGGATCGAATAACGACCACTGCCGGATTGGAAAAAACAAAGCCACCACGAACATCAAGACCCAGGGTAGAAAAAGTAACTCTAGATTTACCTCAACAGACCTATATTTTTGGGTAGAAAAAGGAAGAGAATTTCATTCTAGTCTATTCAGATCAACTGGCTCCTTATAAACTAGTAGAGAAAAAAAAACCAGTCTTCTACAGAGAAATAATGAGGAGTCACGAACATTGGCTAGATGTTAAAGACAAAAGGAACTTCTTGTTTACGGAAAAAAGAAAGAAAGACAGAAGAAGTGGCAATGAAATTTAGATTGAAGTTGATAGAATAAAGGCAATAATAAGTCCAAACCCCCAGTAATTACCTATTGTTATCTTTGTGTTAACGGGGCGAGATAAGCCCACCCCTTTTCTTGTCCCGAGAGAAAAAAAAAAGAAAAAAAGTAAAAAAAAGAAAGAAAAAATTGATGGCCTAAATTGTCCAAGGATCCATCTCTAAATACAACAAAATATAAATTACTTCGTTTACGCGGTATAGTATACTTACAATATGTATAGTATGTCCAAACTTAGTTCTAATTTTATATATAGACTGACGTCTTCCATAATAGACACAATTTATTGATGCATACAGAACAACCATACATTGTCTCGAAATATAAATTAATTTTATTTGTCATGTTTATACAAGGCTTAGAAACAGGTAGAAAGCGAACGACGTAAAAAATTCTACGAACCTGTACTTTTAATGACGTCATAAATAAAACTCTACCGAAACGTATTGTCAACGTCATAAACAAGGCGATTTATACGGCCATTGACTGTATATCACAAATAATTATACGGTCAATGCAATTTGGCTGCGCAAGTTGCACAGCTGCAGTATATATGGTATTAAGTGTATTTGTTCGACTACGTTTACCGCGTTATTTCAGGGACTTTATCTCAAGATCGTGTTTATCAATACTAACTTTATATCATACCCATAAAACAGAGTTTGTAAATGACGGTCGTTATTTATTCATTAGATATTACTACCTGACACTTCTTATAAAACAGTTTAAATTATATAGTTCTTGCGGATATCATATATACAGGTAGTTGGATGCGTTAATTAAAATATAATCAAACCTGGCGATACACGTAGGAGTACTAACAATCTGACTTTTACCAGTCATTAAAACAGAAAATAGTTAGTCAATCTTTTTGATGTATTGGATCTATAAATCACAATAATTATAAGTATATCGTCCTGTTGTCCGTTTCTATTTTAATAGTGCTGATTTTTTTTTCGAGTATAATTCCATACAATCAAATCTATTTTCTCTCTTTAAAAATTATATCAGTTTGTACTAGATCGTCTAGCTTATCTTGAATAATATATGCAAGTTTCTAGCACACACGATAAGTAATGTCTTTCTTTTTTACTTTTCGAGTACCACAGTTAAAATGTTTGCGTTTTTTTCAAACTAGTTCAGGTTTCGCAAAGAATATACGAAGAAGAAAGAAGACATTAAGTGCCTTAAAATTTTACTCTATCTACTTTATACCTGCTACCTTAATCTTGTTTACAGTGGGACGACTTGAAATAACCTATCAGAAACTGTCGTGATAAAATATAGCAAAAAGTGATGTTTAAACTGGTCATGTCCTTGTATTATATTGGGTCTCTATTTTATGAATATCTATTTCGTATCCTTTCTTATCAAATGGCAAATCTCTTTCGCATAGATAATCTCACAATTGTTTCTTGTTGTTTTTATGTATTTATGTATAACGTTCCCAGCAGTTTTCCCTTTGGCCTGGCTTGCAAAACTTCCTGAGTGTTGCAACATTTACAAAGAAGTTAACTGTTTTCTTTTTAATGTTTGTTAGGTTGCAGCTAGATTGACATTTACGCAATATAGATGTGAATGAAAAATAGAACTTCTTACAGAATTTTTTTTCATCATGACACCAGTAGTTAGACCCTTTATTGACGAACATCGTATAATTATGATATGGAATTACTGACTATGTTTTTTTTTCTTGAATTACTGTAGTTGATTTTTCTTTAAAATTAAAATAACACTCACCAGGATGAAGAATGACCAGACCAGACACAGAAATGTCAGAAATCTTAATCTGTATTCTGGTTCTGTTTTAAGCCGATGTAATAGTGATCCAGTGTTATTCATCACTGATTCACACATTTCTTGGTCTCTGTAAGTGCTCCACACTTTGATAAATTACTCTGTAAACCTTTAAAATTTAAATGTATATAAAAATAAAAAAAGTAGTTCACATTTATGTTTTACTTTTTACCTAGTAACGTAAGTCGACTGAGAACTGCATACCATTCACGTGAAGTTATATTTAGCATAATCGTTAATTTCAAATTAAAAGTATATATACTGTACTTTTAAAATTAAAGCAATCAAGATATGCGAAATTTGTTAACTGCCTGTGAATTAGGCGCGCCATACAATAATTTCTAATATGATGTCTGTTTGAAATAAAACACGTGTATTGATTTACATTAAACTTTCGTTTTATCCGTCTTATGAGAGTGTATTGATTTACATTAATCTTACGTTTCAAATAAACGACATATATTTGTCCATCTTATGAATTTGGTTCAAAAGATGTTTTTGCTGATTATTCATTTTAACTTTGTGGTTGTGTATTTTGTTTATCGGTTAATCTTTATTATTACCAGTGAATCGCTATTTTTCAATGGCAAATATCTTCTTTTTTACCTTCCAATATATCACATGAAAAGGAGGGACGAAAGGTACCAGAGGGACATTCAAACTCATTAGTAAAAAAAAACTGAAAATGCCATCGCAAAAAACGAAAAACGTTCAAAAGTCAACAGTATACAAAACATAACAAAGAAAACCAAAAACTGAGCAACTCGAACGGTGATCTCAGGTGTTCCAGTAAGGTAAGCAGACCTTGCTCCACAAACTGTAAGTTAATGTACTAAACAGTACAGCGGCGTAGCTTCTAATAAGGGAGTAAACCAACTCACCTATATTTTTTATTTTACCAAGGAAAACGAACAGAGAAAAATAAAGAGAGATAATAGTGTGACATTTATTCCATAATATAGAGTGCAGATGGTTCCAAACATAAGAGAACGAGATTGTTTCTACAACAAATGGAGCATGTTGTCTGCTCTATGGTCGGGTTGTTGTCTCTTTGACACATTCCCCATTTCCATTCTCAATTTTATTCATATTAACGATTACACATATATCCCATTACGGCCAACCAAATCATAATTGCATCCGCAAAACCTTCAAAGGTATGACTTCAACTTTTCCATTAGAACCTTTTGGTTGAATTGCTTCCTTGTAAGAAGTAATCCTCTATCAAAGAAATAATCATGGGAAACTCAAGCCCTAACTTATCGTATTAATATTGGAAGATACATAGTCCATATGCAGATGTACATCCTTTTATTAAATTGGATCAAGGGGATTGACCAAAAACTTAAGGCCATCCGATCGAATGTATTGTATTCACCTTCACATAGTAGGGCCGTCTGAACGGACTTAAATTTAAAACACAATGTTTGAAACTTGATAATGTTAATAATGTTATATAAGCCAGGGTAGTCTCACACCGTATACAAATGATGGCCCTACATCTGTTTTGTTAAGGAGCTGAATGTACATAACCAATAACACCATGTAATGAAGTTCTTCCTTTGGATAAACTATATCAATATTCAATTTGTTAGCTAGTTACTTAGACATTTGTTTTTCTAAATGGCAAACGTTTTTTAAATGTCTGTTTACGTCACCAAGAATCCCTTTAACTCCAGGTTTATGTTTATGGCCATCAAAACCCAAGGCTGAACATTTCGTTGCACTAAATTGTTTCCCAAATACGTCGATTTTTGTTCCAAACAGACAAACTATATAGATACAAAAGAAATATCATTTACCACCGTCAAGAACCTAAGTGTTTTAATTGTGCGATGACACTTAATAATGTATAAAGTGTCATCGTACAATTAATACATTTATTAAATAGCTGATAAAGAAAAATGTTTAATTCACAGCCTAAAGACGAATGCGGCAATATGAATAGAAAATTCTTCAGATGTGAGACGATCTAGTAAAAACAGTAATAGTTTTACTAGTATTCTGGTATGTAGGTCGATGATAAGTTACTAGCATTCAATTCCATTAATTGAAACTTACTCATCTGATTCATGACATATTTTCTTACAGTCTACGGATAAATTTTGAGTCAACGTTTAACGCCATGTACTAGTCTCTATGTTCGATTTTGAGTGCCAATTTTGATGACTTGGTAACTGGACGATTGGCTACTGACGATGACGATGATAACGAAATGCAACACAACTGGTTGCAAAAATTGGCAATGCCAACAATAGACATTGACTAAGCCCTAATCACTTGCCTGAGAATACTCGCTTTAACTCCACTGGTAGAATTAGACGCAAGTCCTATGCAGTAGTTACAAATTTAATGATTTTAGGATGGAAAACATTTAATTATACAAATTATGCAAATGTTGTCAGTTCGACTGTCTGACTCTCACTGAAGTAAGAACTTCAGAAAACATATTTAAATTAAGAATTTTGCTAGGTTACAATTTGATAATAGAAACGAGTTTATCGAATTACAATTAAAATATACAGATAGCACTTGAAGGATTAACAAACAAAACAGATATCATAGATGACGAATAACAGAATGTAGGACTAAGTTATTCTTACATAACGAACAGAAATAATTTGACTATAAGAATGTTTATACCGAGCAGATTATCAGTGAAAATCTAAAAATGTCCGAATAAAACAATATTCTTTTAAATAGTTCAAAATAAAGATTAACAGTTTTCACAAACTTGGCGCTATCACATCTGATTAAGTTTCAGAGCATGATATTGCTAATTAAATTTTATTAAAGAAATAGTTCGATTCTTTAATACTAAAATTTCCTTTCGTTAATCGTTATGACATTCAATCACTACATTTTTTTTTTGGAAAACAATTTGTACAATTAATCGATGAGTGCCCAACGGTTCGTTACATTAATTCTTTTTTTAAACGAAGAAGTTTCCAAAAATTGTGACTCGACATCTTCTTGCTCGACAGCTTCTTGTTCGACAGCTTAACAAGTAGTAGATACGTACAGGTTTAGTTAAACCCACAATCAAAGAAAGACAGACGACAACAGCATAGCAAAAAGACAAACACAAAATCAATAACTGTCTAAAAACACCACTCAGAAAACTTAAGATTGAGCACCAGGTGAACGAACCCAACTAAAAACCCGGGGTATCTCAGTACTTAGGATGCCTAGGATAAGCAGTGATATCCTGAACCACTAGTTGCAAAGATGGTGATACTCATGGAATGTGAAATCTGATTCTAAGTCTCATTCGGGGATGGCTACAAGTGGAACATGTACGTGGCCAACTGTGACACACATATTACATAGCGGTCAACAAATAATACTGGCGTCTGCAAAACTTTCAAAGCGATAACTTCCAACTTTATCATCAGGAACTGTTGATTCAATAAAATCCACAGGCACTTGCCACTGAAAAAAATATATATAAGTAATATTTTTTCAGAGACAAGTGCCTGTGAAATAAGCAACTCACAAGGAAATACTGATAGAAACCACTAGCCCTGGAATATCGTATCAGCTTGCAGATGCGTGTATCTTAATTCGGTTTTATAGCGACAACTATTGCAATTCTAAAAGTTCGTTAAACTTTTAATTTGCATTAATTTGCGCTATTCCTTACTGTCAATATGACTGATTGGAACCTGTAACGTATCAGCCTCGTTCTGAGTGACCTCCGGGATGTAAATACGCGTGGATATCCACATATTTTCCCGTGCAATGCCAAAAAATTACTTGCCTGTTTAAGATTAACTTCACAAAATACTGTTAGGTCAACCGTGAACGGGAGAGCTTTTTCACTCTCCTTTTCCTGTGACATTACCTGAAAAACTCAAACCTTATATATGTGGTAACTTCAACCATCCTAAGTGTGGTATTCAATATGTGGGACAGACGGGACGAGAATATTACAGAAGAAATCAAGAGCACCTTTACCGCTTTCGAAGACCTAAACAATTAAAAAGTTCGATATACCAACATTTGGATAAGCATAATCATAATCTAAAATTTATAAAATTCCAACCATTTGAAACCGTTCAGAAACAACCAGGACAATCACACAAGCAATTTGAAAAATCCCGTGAAGTTCGCGAACTATTTTGGATAAAAAGACTTCAAACAGCTTATCCTCTCGGTCTCAATGACAAAATATTGGGACAGGGGAACATATCTAAAACTTCTATCGATGTCATTAATATTATCGATAAACGACTAAGAAATAATAGGTCTCATGGTAAACGCAAAAACCGTAATCAACGTATTAAACATCGTTTAAATTATACACTTGCTGATCTGTTATCTATATTAAAAATTAATGGTAGACATCAAGTATTATGTAAACTGTGTCATATACCAATTTGTAAATTATATGCTGTTTTTCAGGAGTGTGATAAAATTAAATTTTTTAGCCCGTTGTATGAATACACCCGTATTAATACAGCCTTTTGTCATCACAGGATGTTTCCTAGTATCGATAAACCTAAAAATCATAAACGACATTTTCGTAAATTAAAATACATAAATAGAGGTATTGATTTCATTAACTTATCTAGTAAATTCAATGACTCTACCATCCATAGTCAAATACCTCCATATTTTGATAATATAGAAACACCTATTATTTCGTATTCTTATAAAAAAAAACCGGCAGAAGTTTGATTTTTAATTATACGTCAGTTACAGCAGACGTCAATAAAGAAAATAATGCTCCTTCCATTTGAGACAGTTAAACATCTAGTTTTAGATATGTTCCCTATGGTCATGTCATTACAGGAGATTTCAAAATCGTGGTTGACCGTGAGGTCAAACCTGTTCTTAAGAAAGGACCTAAATATCGTCCTCCATCTATAATAGATTGGAAACAGTGTCGTCAGGTCATTAAAGACGCTGTGTTTGCCTACTGTAAAAATTGGTGTAAACGTGAAAAATCTGATAAAAATCTCTAGACAGTTATTTGAATAAAATTATGAACACTGTTGATATTCGTATATCTCATTTTGAAAACAATTCTGAAATTAATAATAGGGTCCATGATATACCCATTTCTAGAATAAAAAACAAACTCCAAGTAATCGCAAAGCGGTTTCTGTTCGTACCGGTAGATAAAGCAGCCAATAATGTAGTGGTGGTGTGACGCATATACTACACTATTATCAATTCGTCTACATTCAGGTCCGTACGCTCTACAGAGAGTCAAATTGTAAACAAGCATATCACTACCACTACCCAGCTTAAATCCTCTTTTGAAACTCCATACTAAAATTTACAACAAAAGAGATGATTTTTCATTCCCTATTGTTATTTTTCCCTTTTTAGACGGCGATGTTCCTTTGGCTCCATCATACGGTGTTTATATATCTCAAGTCGTTCTTTATGCTCGTGTGTGTAGTGATGTCATATATTTTAACGAACGTAATCAACATGATCAATGCATCACTGGTAAATTATTAAGTCAGGAATTTCGTTACCATAAATTGCTTAAAACTTTTACTAAATTCTTTCATAGATACAAAGATTTGATTAGTAAATTTGGCTGTACCTGTAGAAAACTTATTAAAAACGGTATTTCACATCCTAACTTTTTACGAATATATTGTACTAAAAGCGCGGAAATCACTATGTGATCCGTGTAAACTCATCGAACCTTTAAACAAACTTTATATTAGTAAAGGTTATCTTACCAATGTTGTAATTAGATCTTTGAATATAGTTTACATTAGCACAAATATCGATTTTGTCATCAGCAAATTAAAACATAGCTAAATTTGTATTGTTTTCAAACGGTTTTTTGGGATGTATAAACACACATCCACGTTCATTTTCTACATAGAGATTACTCTATCTATATATTATATTATACATATTTTTTAACAGGTTAACTATCCTACTGCCTGTCGATACTTTTATTTTGGCATTGCACAAGTCATGTTTTCGTTTACTGTCCATGACGTTAAAACACTAAATCCCTGGGATGTGTTTAGTTGATTTTAGTCTCTGATGCATGATTTTTTATTATTAATTGATTTTGGCTTTTAACTAGCTTTCAATAACTGCGAGTACTCTCAATCGTACTTTCGTGTTAATTTAACCTGTTGATACAATTTGTAATTTATTTTTGTTATTTAATGTTTACCTATTCAGTGTTATATCTAGTTTCACTATTTATAATATATACCTGGTAACCACCTTTGATAAGTGTTTAGTATGACGATAAATTTTCGCTTTTGTTCTCGTACTAGGAACAACAAAATTATTTCCGTACTCCATGTATACCTTACAAGAAAATTATTTTTATTTTCCTGTGTACGTTATTTTATTTGGCGGCATTTTGTCCATGGCTATGGTTGTCTTTCTGATATTGTTTTTCATCAAACCCGCTTGTTTTATTAATTGTGTATTTACATTGTGTCATAGATCAAATTTATTCGTTCAGTGTATGTTCACTTGTTTTTGTTAATATGTCTTTTGATTGAGTTAAGCCATTTCAATTGATATCTTATAGTGTGTCTTTCTATGTTGTGATGTTACACTATTGTTTCAGGTTGGGTGAAGGTTGGCGCCTATCAAAACGTTTAAACCCGCTGCTTTTGTTTGCAGGAACCTGATGTTCAGTGGTTGTTGTTTGTTGATGTGGTTCATAAGTATTTCTCGTTTCTCGTTTTTTATATAGATTAGACCGTTGGTTTTCCTGTTTGAATGGTTTTACACTAGTCATTTTTGGGGCCCTTTATAGCTTGCTGTTCGGTGTGAGCCAAGGCTCCGTGTTGAAGGCCGTATTTAAACCTATAATGGTTTACTTTTACAAATTGTGACTTGGATGGAGAGTTGTCTCATTGGCACTCATACCACATCTTCTTTTATCTGTATTTATCAGGTCGATAGATCGATGCATTGAAATGTATACATTTTTTACCAACTATTTGACACTTATTCTGCTATCGATGTATTTTGGGAGAAAATCATGTAAAAATAAACATTTTGGAACAAAAATTGAAAATCGTGTCATGTCTCCTTTAATTATTGTCACGCGTCACATTTCATTTGGCACCCCCTCATAACACAAATATATATAAGCTAAAGTGGAGAGGGTGACACGCTTTTGGAATGTAGGATATGGAGGGAAGTGGGGACCATTGTGGGATATAGGGGGTACAAAAGTTGGGATGTGGAATATAGGGCCCTGTACAGAAGTAAAAAAATATAAAGATATGTTAAGTAAATATACAAATATATACCGATCGGTTCTCATTAAACAAAATGCATTTGTACGATCACGATTGTTCTATAGTTATGAAGTTTGAACTTTGAACTTTGAATAGTCCTGAACATATTTTCCACTGGACGTTAAGCAAACATCAATCAATCTGTCATGAAAATGATATTAAATAATCACATTTTGATTTCACTTGAATAAAACAACAATACATGTTTGTTTAATCCATAGTATACAGGTTTAATGAGGTCATTCGTTTACATTGAGCTGCGTCAGATAGAAATCGACCTCATGCAAGTGCACTTATACATGTACATGTTTCAGATTTTGATTGATTTAATTTGGAACATTCAAATACGAAATAAAAGTTGAATTTTGGTCTGTTTTGTAGATTTTCTTATAAAAGCTCAATTTTCAAACAGTTACAGACTTTCCATAGAGATTTTTTCAACCTAAAAAGGGTCAACAGAGTTATCGATATTCATTTGCATAAAGTCGATTTCTTTCCGGGACAGCTCATATTACACTTTTCTGGATTACGCCTCTGCAATGTACATGCAGGTTGAAATTCCTCTTCATCAAATTACATTGCTGAATGACATTTGTATAAATATTTAAATAAATTGCTATAAATATTTAATGACACTAACACGACAATGTCATTTCATATTCAACAAAATAAAAAAAAATATCAAAAATGCAGATTTTGATCATGCAATGACGGTTATTGTAATTTTCTTAACGCCACCATTTAACTACGAGATAAAATTCACAAAGTGGTTGCAACAAAAATGTTCCGTTTTTAGCTCACCTGACTCAAAGGGCCAAATGAGCTTTTCTCATCACTTGGCGTCCGTCGTCCGTCGTCGTCGTCGTCCGTTAACTTAAAAAAAAAATCTTCTCCTCTGAAACTACTGGGCCAAAGTTGACCAAACTTGGCCACAATCGTCATTGGGGTATCTAGTTTAAAAAATGTGTCCGACGACCCGGCCTGCCAACCAAGATGGCCGCCATGGCTAAAAATAGAACATAGGGGTAAAATGTAGATTTTGGCTTATATCTATGAAACTAAAGCATTTACAGCAAATCTGACAATTGGTTACAATGTTCATCAAGTCAAAATCTACCTGCCCTGAAATTTCCAGACAAATCAGAAAACCCGTTGTTGGGTTGGTGCCCCTGAATTGGTAATTCTAAGAAAATTTTGCAGTTTTTGATTATTAACTTCAATATTATTATAGATATAGATTAACTGTAACAGCAATAATGAACAACAAAGTAAGATCTACAAATAAGTCCACATGACCAAAATTGTCAATTGACCCCTTAACGAGTTATTGCCCTGTATAGTCAATTTTTAACAATTATTCTTAAATTTTTGTACATCTTTTACAAAAATCTTCACCTCTGAAACTACTAGGCAAAATAGAATCAATCTTGGCCATAATCATCATTGAGGTATTTAGTTAAAAAAATGTGTCTGATGATCCCGCCCGTCGACCAAAATGGCCGACATGGCTAAAAATAGAACATAGGGGTAAAATGCAGTTTATGGCTTATATCTCTGAAACTAAAGCATTTAGAGCAAATCTGACAATGGTAAAAATGTTCATCAAGTAAAGTTCTATCTCCCCTGATATTTTCAGACGAATCAGACAACCCGTTATTTGGTTGCTGCCCCTGAATTGGTAATTTTAAGAAAATTTTGCAGTTTTTGGTTATTACCTTCCATATTATTATAGACATAGATAAACTGTAAACAGCAATAATGTACAGCAAAGTAAGATCTACAAATAAGTCAACATGACCAAAATGGTCAAATGGCCCCTTAAGGAGTTATTGCCCTTTATAGTCATTTTTTTACAATTTTTCTTAAATTTTTGTCATCTTTTACAAAAATCTTCTTCTCTGAAACTACTGGGCTAAATATAATCAAACTTGGCCACAATCATCATTAGGGTATTTAAATTTAAAAAATGTGTCCGATGACCCCGCTTGCCAACAAAGATGGCCGACATGGCAAAAAATAGAACATATGGGGTAAAATGCAAGTTTTGTCTATTATTCTGATAGCCATTATAAAAAGAGGAAATCTGAAAAGGGTAAAATTGTTCAGAATGTTGAGCTCTTCCAATTATCCATATACGTCAAAACTGTCAGACGATTTCCTGTAGATGTTATTGCCCTTAAATGACAAATTTTACCACTTTTTTTCGATTTTTGCCTATTATCTTGAAAACTATAATAGATAGAGAGAAACTTTGAAATACAAAAATGATTAGAAGGACTAGTTCTACAAATAAGTATTATGGTTGAAATCATCAGTTGACTCCTTAGTAGAGTTATTGCCCTTTGATGCCGATTTGTACAATTTTTTTTGCGTTTTTGTCTTATATCTTAAAACTTATAATAGATAGAAATAAAAACTTAAATATACAAAAATGATCAGCCATACAGGATCTACAATTAAGACAAATGGCGGAAATTGTCCGACGACTCCTTATTGGAGTTATTGCCCTTTAATTACGATTTTTACGGGGTTTTTTTTGTTGCGTTTTGTGTAACCGGGAGACTGGCTACTTGATTGATAATGGTCCTACACCATAAATGTAACCGAGAGACTGGCTACTGGAATGACGATGATAACGAGCTGCAACCCACGACCGGTTGCACAAGTTGGCGATGCAAACGTTAGACAATGACTAGTCACTTGCCTGAGAATACCCGCTTTAACTCCACTGGTAGAATCAGACACAAGTCCTATGCAGTAGTTAACAATTTAATGATTCAGGATGGAATACATGTAAATTTCCAAATTAGGCGGATGTTGTCAGTACGACTGCCTGACTCTCACTGAAGTTAGAATATAGCAAAGTGCTCTCGACCAATGAAAATGTAGGATTTGCTGCCTCTTAATTGTGAAGAATGAATGTAAATCATGTTCTTAGTAAGGGATTATCCTATTATTTGTGTCAACAAAGAGTTTCTATAAATGAGTTACAACTGCCTCGAAGCACATTTATCAGATTGAAAGCATTTTTCACACAGTGATTGAAACTGACTAAAAGTTGAATTGGGAAACAAAAAAAAACTCAAAATTAGTTGAAGTTTACTGGTGCAGTTAAATTGGTACCGTGAATGGTATTATGAAAATATTAATAACTTCAAATTACTAAGAAATTAAACAATATCAAAGTAATGCAAAACTAAAGGCTCTCAAGAGCCTGTGTCGCTCACCTGTATTTACTGATGCTTTGGAAATCATGTAAAATAAGGTTAAAATCATAATTAATAGTATTAGATATTAGATATTATAATGATATCTAAGATAATAACAAAAAACTGCAAAATTTTTGTAAAATTACTAACTCAGGGGCAGCAACCCAACAACGGGTTGTCGGATTCGTCTGAAAATTTCAGGGCAGATAAATCTAAATCTGATGAACATTTTTGCCACCTGTCAGATTTGCTCTAAATGCTTAAGTTTCAGAGATATAAACCAAAAACTGCATTTTACCCCTATGTTCTATTTTCAACAAAGTTGGCCATGATGGTTGGAAGGTGGGATCATCGGACACATCTTTTAAACTAGATACCCTAATAATGATTATGGCCAAGTATGGTTAAATTTGTCTTAGTAGTTTCAGAGAAGAAGATTTTTGTAAAAGATTACAAAAATTTACAAAAAATTGTTAAAAATTGACTATTAAGGGCAATAAAAGGGTCGACTGACAATTTTGGTCATGACGACTTATTTGTAGATCTTACTTTGCTGAACATTATTGCTGTTTACAGTTTATCTCTATCTATAATAATATTCAAGATAATAACCAATAAAATGCTTCGCTGGGCGCAGCTTGATACGACCGCAGAGGTCGAACCCTGAACAGTTGGGGCAAGTATGGACACAACATTCAAGCTTGATACAGCTCTGAATTTGGATTGTGATTAAATATTTGACACAGCATAGGTTTCTGACACAGAAAAAATGTGGTCTAAGAACTTCAATTTTTTTTAATTTACCTATTATGGTCCAATGTCCAAAATCAAAATACATGGTTAGATTCAGCATATCAAAGAACCTCATATATTCAATTTTTGTTGAAATCAAACACAGTTTGATTTTGGACCCCAACTTGGACAAACTTGAAAACTGGTCCCATAATCAAAAATCTAAACACATGTTTAGATTCAGCATATCAAAGTACCCCTAGAATTCAATTTTTGTTAAAATTAAACTAAGTTTAATTTTGGACCCTTTAGACCTTAATGTAGATCGACCAATTTAAAAAAACGGGACCCAAAATTAAAAATCTAAAAACACGGTTAGATTTGGCATATCAAAGAACCCCAATAATTCAATTTTTGATGAAATCAAATAAAGTTTAATTTTGGACCCTTTTGACCTCAATATGAACCAATTTGATAGCAGGCCCACAAATAAAAAATCTAAATACATGGTAAGATTCAGCATATCAAAGAACCCCATATATTTAATTTTTGGTGAAATCAAACAAAGTTTGATTTTGGACCCCAATTTGGACCAACTTGAAAACTGGGCCAAAAATCTAAAATCTAAATACATGTTTAGATTCAGCATATCAAAGAACCCCATATATTCAATTCTTGTTGAAATCAAACAAAGTTTAATTTTGGACCCCAACTTGGACCAACTTGAAAACTGGGCCCATAATCAAAAATCTAAACACATGTTTAGATTCAAGCATATCAAAGAACCCCAAGAATCCAATTTTTGTTAAAATCAAACTAAGTTTAATTTTGGACCCTTTGGACCTTAATGTAGACCAATTTAAAAAACCGGACCCAAAATTAAAAATCTAAATACACGGTTAGATTTGGCATATCAAAGAACCCCAATAATTCAATTTTTGATGAAATCAAACAAAGTTTAATTTTGGACCCTTTTGACCTCAATATGAACCAATTTGATAGCGGGTCCACAAATAAAAAATCTAAATACATGGTAAGATTAAGCATATCAAAGAACCCCATATATTTAATTTTTGGTGAAATCAAACAAAGTTTGATTTTGGACCCCAATTTGGACCAACTTGAAAACTGGGCCAAAAATCTAAAATCTAAATACATGTTTAGATTCAGCATATCAAAGAACCCCATATATTCAATTCTTGTTGAAATCAAACAAAGTTTAATTTTGGACCCCAATTTGGACCAACTTGAAAACTGGGCCAAAAATCAAAAATCTAAATACATGTTTAGATTCAGCATATCAAAGAACCCCATATATTCAATTTTTGTTAAAATCAAACAAAGTTTAATTTTGGACCCTTTGGACCTTAATGTAGACCAATTTGAAAACTGGACACAAAATTAAAAATCTAAATACACGTTTAGAATTGGCATAACAAATAAATAAATGTGGTCAAAGATTTTACAAATCTAATGCGCAATACTGGTCTTCCTTTATAAATATGCATTTCTTTAAACATAATTTAAAAGCAGTGTAAGGGAAGTAACCAAAACGTTGTATTTGGATTACCTCCCTTACACTGTTTTAAATTATCTTAATTGTTCATTAACCATTACTTTATACATAATTTAAAAGCAGTGTAAGGGAGATAATTTCAATGATGTATTTGATTTATCTCCCTTACACTGCTTTAAATTATGTTTTGTACTTAAGTATTTGTCCATTAATGAGGACAACCTTGTTTTTCCCCCTTTTTTGCCCCTTATTCTTAAACGGTTTGAGCAATAACCCCCCAAAGCAAATCCTAACCATCCCTTTGTGGTATGGAAACTTGTAGTATAATTTCAGAGAGATCCATACACCGTTCCACAGTTATTGTCTGGAAACTAGAAAATGCTTATTTTTGGCCCCTTTTTGGCCCCTAAATCCTTAACTGTTGGTACCATAACCCCCAAAATCAATCCCCACCTTCCTTTTGTGGTATTGAACCTTATGGTAAAATTTCATAGAGATCCATTCACTTAAACTAAAGTTAGAGTGCGAAAACTAATGCGTCTTCGGACGACGACGCCGGACGACGACGACGCCGGACGACGACAACGACGACGACGACGACGACGCCAACGTCATACCAATATACGACCACAAAATTTGTTTTGCGGTCGTATAAAAACTGCAAAATTTCTTTAAATTTACCAATTCAGGGGCAGCAACCCAACAACAGGTTGTCAGATTTGACTGAAAATTTCAGGGCAGATAGATCTTGACCTGATAATCAGTTTTACCCTTGTCAGATTTACTCTAAATGCTTTGGTTTCAGAGATATAAGCCAAAATCTACATTTTACCCCTATGTTCTATTTTTAGCAATGGCGGCCATCTTTGTTGGTTGGCGGGGTCATCGGACACATTTTTTAAAAAAGATACCCTAATGATGATTGTGGCCAAGTTTGGTTAAATTTGGCCCAGTGGTTTCAGAGGAGAAGATTTTTGTAAAAAGCTAACGACGACGGACGACGACGACGCCGACGCCGCCGACGACGCCGACCCCGCCGACGACGACGACGGACGACGGACGACGGACGCCAAGTGATGAGAAAAGCTCACTTGGCCCTTCGGGCCAGGTGAGCTAAAAAGGAAACAAAAAGCTTTAAGATAAAATAACCTAAATCTTTCGCTTTCCAAAACTTTGATTACTGGATCAGCGGTTGGGAAGAATAGTTATTTCCAATATTCCGATAAAAAAAAAACCTGGAACTTAATTTAAGTTTTGAGCATATTAAAAACTTTTAAAGGCATTTTATTTGAATGTTTCCCTGGCATAATGAAATAGTATTTGATGTAAAAAGCCGGACCAAAATATTGGTTGTGAAATCAAATTTAGTTGTTACTAAAATGTATTAATTGATTTAAACTGTAAATTAAAAAAGAACTATTCCTCACTAAAACATAACATGATTTACATTTATACTCACAATCAGGAAACACATACAATTCCTACCTATTCTTTGTACTGTTTTGTCACGTAATATCTATAACGCATTTTCTTTTTAAATATTTCCCAAATGATAAGTAAGTCCTTACATCACTAAAACTAATCCATAACTGACATGCCGAAAAAGGAAGTCATGCATCAGTTATAAACATTGCACTGACAATGAAACTAATTCTTGAATACAACCAATCAAGAGATCATTTGAGCCTTGAGCACTTTACAATATTCTAAGTTTGTAAGAGAATGATAATCCCTTACTTCATGATAAGTAATCGCTAACGCTCGTACTTAATCATGAAGAAAGGGATTATCATTCTCTTACATATTCTTAGAACTTCAGAAAGCATATTTAAATCAAGAACTTACAAGGTTACAATTTCATAATAGAAACGAGATTACCGAATGACAATGAACTAATACAATTAGCACTTAAAGGATTAACAAAAGAATATAACAAAAATCTGTCGCTTGAGTTTTAGGCTGAATAGCGCTAATTGCAATGACTAAAGGATTAATTATTCTTTACGTAAGAAAACTTAATAATTATGTAAAGCTATGACTTTATCTATTATTTATCAAAAGTATTACATTGAAACAAATTTCTGTCTTAGTGAAAACATACTGACACTTAATTGTTACTTATAACACAATAAGCTTCATAAAGAAAAATCGTTACATGTTAAAAAAAGTACTTTGAAAAACAATATTGCAAATAAAATGATTTCCATACAATAATAATTAGTATAACAATATAATAACAATTCATGACCGAACAGTTTGTCAGTGAAAGTTCAAAAATATCAGATTAATGAAAAATACACTTTTAAAATAGTTCCAAATGAAGGTGCACAATTTACACAAAGTATCGCTATCACAGATGCCTTATATAATAAAAACTATGATAGATAGATAGACACTTAAATAATCAAAAATGATAAGCAAGACAAGACCTACTAACAAGTCAAATTTTTCTGATATAATTAGTAGACTGTTACCCTTTATAGGAGTTTTTTTTACCCTCTTTTGTGTTTGGAGCAAAAGCTAAATAAGATCATGAAGATAGAGAGAAACTAAACAGACTTCAATAATCAGCAACATAAGATACAAAAAAAAAATAGAGATTTTTGTCATTAATTCTATTCTCGTCTACAATGTTGGAGAGTGTCCCTTGTTGAATATGCATATACACATTAGACCAAGGTGAGCGACACAGGCTCTTGCGAGCCTCTAGTTCTATATATTATTGTTTTTTTTAATTGTTTTAAGAAAAAAATCATTAATATTGTAACTGATTTTCACTTATTTCATGTGTTCTTGCTCTAATCAACATGATTTTACGACAACAGTAGTTTATATATATGATAGCCTCTATTCTTATTTTACGATCATCACGATTTCACAATAACAGTAGTTTATATATGATGCCCCTCTATTCTTATTTCACATTGTAAAATCATATGGACAAGAGCAAGTAACTTTATTTACAAAACCTGGAAGTTATTTAGAATAAAATTTCTTCCTTCATGACCCCAGTCACTACCTTTAGAACCTAAAAAATGTCATAAATAGGTGTTGAATGTCCTGCAAAGAGATATATGAAAATTGACTCAAACACTTATCAAGACGTATTTTATGTTTAGACATTTCAGGTGATGTTAAGGTCGAATTCACCGTTCAAACCATGATACATATCAATTTACTAGTGGCGTACCCCTAAGTGAACGACAGCTCCACATTATTGTTTTTCTTATTTCAAAGATTTGTCAAGAATGTGTCCATAGTACACGAATGCCCCACTCGCACTATCATTTTCTATGTTCAGTGGACCGTGAAATTGGGGTCAAAACTCTAATTTGGCATTAAAATTAGAAAGATCATATCATAGGGACCATGTGTACTAAGTTTCATGTTGATTGGACTTCAACTTCATCAAAAACTACCTTGACCAAAAACTTTAACCTCAAGCGGGACAGACGGACGAACGGACGGACGAACGAACGAACGAACGGACGCACAGACCAAAAGACATAATGCTCTTCTACTGTCGTAGGTGGGGCATAAAAAACAATAGACATAAGGGTCGAAACAAACTTCATATTCTCCGCTCTATCTAACCAGGGTGGTAATATTGCTTTTACAATACATGCAAAAAACGTTCTTTACACATATCTGGTCAACAATACAAAATAACTTATTTTATACTTATTTTAGATAGTCTCTTTAAATTTCAGCGTAAAAGTAAGTTAAAAATTTAATAAATTATTAAAAAAAAACAATGTTTAACAACTTTCATAGGCAAACTGGGAGTTGCCCTATGACGGTTTTTGGTGATTCTTTTAATTCCATTTTTTGCATTATCGTTCCAAATGTATTATTCCTCTTTGGTTGCCCAATGTTTAGCTCAGAGCGTTCCTGAAGAAGTTTCATACAACACGACACATTCATCGACTTCAGTGATTCAACCCTGACATACTACTATTATGAACTATTTTCTTAAATTTCAGTACATCCAACTTTTATATCCACACGATATTTTTTAACATAATGAGAAACATAAGTAGCTACCCACACCATAATCCACATGACTATACCATCCGCTAATATTATATAAGCAAACCATATTGAACCGTTATTATCCATTAAATATCCAATCAAAATCGGGTTAAGCATAGATCCTAATGACGCCGTAATTAATAAAAGTGATGACACTTTTCCAGCAACAGTTAGAAAATCTTGCGTCCATAAAAATATTGATGGAAAGAAAACAGATGCGGTAAATCCCATAACTGGAAAAAATATCCAAATTCCTATATCAAAAGCAAACATTGTGGACACAAAAAGTCCAATCATAGCTAAGAGAAAAACGTTAATGTAATAGCGTAATAAGTTTGAAGCTTTCAATCTTTGGCCGATAAAAATAGCACTTATACGACCACAAGCAAATGATGCCCAATAAAGAGAAGTTATGTATGATCCACTTTTTTTCGTCCATCCAAGCTGAACCACAACAAATGTAGTAAATAGTCCAAAAAATGTATCTTCCATTCCTTGGTCGATTCCTAAGAAAAGGCACATTAAAAAAAGAATACTAAATTTTATACGGTTAGGCAATTCCGCTTTTTTATCCATTTGTTTCGACTTCTCTTCCTTGTATGTTTTATTGTTGGTAAAACACATGAACAGAAATGATATCGCAAGCATGAAACAGAGGCCTGCTGAAATCAGATATGCTTTGTACAGTACTGAACGTCTTTGAATGTGCTCAGTATTGTTTCTATCATGTAAATCAGCATTATATGTCATGTTAGAATTGTTAGCCGTCTGTAAAGCATACTGCACTTTCGAAAAATCAGTGCTGTTTTCTATGAATAAAATAGAAGGTAAACTTGATGTTGATAACAAACTAGTATTTTGGTAGATGGTTAAATTTAGATTTTCGTCCATTTGTGTGCTAGGAAGATCCTGCATTAGAAACGGCGCTGTTGCTATTGGAGACAAAAACCCACCAACAGCAAACATGAGATGTATGGCATGTAGATATGACTGTATTCCCTTCTCGTGTTTAAAGTTGGAAATAAACACAGAATTTCCGGCTGTTAGAAAAAAAATGTTGTTGTACTGCAAATAATTATTAAAAAGTGCGATATTACGTACGGCGAATAAAGTGGAAAACGGTGATTAGGAAAATACTTTTTTGTCTGTTAGAAAATAAAATAACTTTTCCGCAGCGAGTGTACAATAAAGCTTTGCCATCATGTTACAAGCAATTAAAATGTTTTAATTAATTATGTTAAATAAAGCGTCACATTTGAAGAAGTATCCTAGCTTTATAAAATTATGGGGAAAATATAATAATTAAATCATATTACACTTCATATGTATTTTATACTAGAAAATTAGAATTCTCACCTGTATCGAGAACGCCATAACCAAAACCCTTCACTATATGCATAGAAACCATTACTCCATAAAGAGAGCACCACGGAATCGCCGCAGATGTGACACCGAGAGCGGTATTTCCAAGGAAAATCAGCAAGAACGGGTTCATCCGCTGGTATATAGCTCCACTGACAATTGCTCCTATCAGATAGCCAATAAAAACCGACGTCAGAAAAAACAAAGCTTCCTCTAGTCTACTATTAGTTATCTCTTTCAGGTCCAGCAGCGAAGGACTTAATTGTCCAATAACCCAACCCTAAAATACATTTCATTCCAGTTTCTAATGACATTTTGTTTGCTCTAACACACGTAGGAACATATTATTAAACAAACCACTAACACCAAAGACGGCATTGCATATAGAATGTTTCGTTTCTTGCATGGTTTAATTAACCACATCCAAATTTTCTCCGTCAAAGTTAACCTTTGAACTTAGGCAATTTTAAATGTTCTATTTTAGATCCCTTTTAATTTAGGTTCTGAGATACAGTTATCATCTGCATCTTATAAATACCAACTGAGGAGAGGTCATCGCTCGTTTTATTCTGTGTTTATAAACATGACACATAAACTATATATTTATTAGTTTTACACATCAGCAAACAAAAAATACAAATCTTATAACTGATTATTGCAATTCATCCCTTGGAAAATATTACATGAGATTTTTTTCTATCTGTGCCATGGTTTGCCTTCTAATAATTTCAACTAATCATAATTAAAATCAATAATTTAATCTAACAGTGTAGTAAATTCAAAACTCACCAGAATGCCGCTAGACATACAAAGGAAAATCCATAATATAAATTTACGCCTGAAATCATCATCTTTCACTAATCTTTCCCTTAATGACTGTTTTGTGTTTGATGTTGCATCATCTTCTTGATTCTTTATGTCATTGTCAATCAATACATTTTGTTCATGTATTGTATCAGCTGTTGTAATATGTGCACTGCTAATGAGTACATTATCCTCTGATGGTATTTCAGCTGGTGGCATACAGACACCTTGACCAAAATAATCATTCTTCTGCATTCCTGTATATGCTTAATAAAACATAATTATCAATTTAACAAATTAAAGTTTATAATTCTTTTAATACGACAAAATTTGCAACTATGAATATACTGTATTCACGAAAATTTGGATGCTTCTTTGACTGTTTCAATCGTTATAATTGTGATTTCACGTAAGTATCCCATATACAAAACATAGAATAAGTCACAAATACATGGGCAAAAACCAATACTAATCATTATTTTTTTTAAAGCAGTCACTAATATGGAACGCCACAGCTGCCTTATGATAACGATAATCATATCATTAAGGGTTGAAATATAACGTGAAGCAAATTTTCTATACTATTACGACATTTGACTATTCTACTCTGTCAATTTGTTATTTCACTAAGATAAATTTATATACTATAAAGACGTTTTGATATAACAAGGAGCTACCGTTTCATACTATTCTGTCATTTTACTTGGTCATGAAGACATTCTTGAAACTATGAAGACATCTTGATGTAACATGGAGCTACCTTTTCATACTATTCTTTCATTTCACTATACTACTATGCGATATTGCTAGACCATGAAGATACATTTTATACTATAAAGACATCTTAATATAACATTGAACACCTTTTTCATACTATTTTGTCACCTCAGTATACTAATATGTCATGTTACTATCTTATTACGATAAATCTGTATACTATACAATCATCTTGATATAACATGGAGCAACTTTTTCATACTATTCAGTCATATTACTATCTTATGAAGACATATTTAAATATCAAGGTACCAGATTCTTATACCACGAGGTGTCATTTATATACCAGTAGACTATTTGATTACACTACAAGACCATTTCATTGTAATATCAGAAGACAATTCTATAAGTAGCGGCGAAATATCATATTTCATATATTTTATTTTTTTTTTTATTCTGTGTTTTCAGAAATTCCAGTATGACCACATCAAGTTAATTTGTAGATGATCATCCACCTGTTTTAAGCAAGTGGGGTGGATGGGAAAATTCTATTAATTCTTAATTCTTAACAATCTCTAGGAAATTTACATTATTTCTCCAAATACAAATTAAAGAATTGAAGAAAGTGTTCATGGGACACAGATGCCCCCGCTTCCACATACTTTCTAAAGGAGCATAACTCTTGAACGGTAAAAGATGCAAACACCCAAATTCGAACTTGATCTGTATATTGTGGTTAAAAGCATTGTGTATAAGTTTCTAATCATTCGGCCAAGCCAAACTAAAGTTCGAGTACGGAAACCAATTTCGTGACGTATGTACGGACGGACGGACGTACGGACGTTCGTACGGACAGATAGACAGGGTTAACACTTAATGTCCCCTTCGCCTAGCGGTTGGGGCATACACATAATATTTACTTTTAACAAAGTTTGGCTGTTCCCGAATAACTTTAAACTGTACTCAGTTCTTTGTGGTAATGGTCTCAAGGTCTCTATAATTTTTGGTGAAATATTAACCTTTCGTTTTAGTTCAATGGACTTTATTCATTAAAAAAGGGGGGTTTCACGTTGCGCAGTATCTTGAGAATGCCTTGCTTGATTCACTTCGAGCTTTACACTGTTTTTTTAATGATAGTCTTATGCTCTGTATAATTTTTTGTTAAATTTTGATTTTTCCTTCCAGAGTTATGGACTTTTTCATATAAAAAGGGGGAGGCAATTTTTCACATGTCACACTTGTATCTTGAGAATGTCTTGCTTCATTAACTTCACTATAAAAAGTTGTTTGTCATGGCAGTCTTATGGTCTGTATAATTCTTGGTGAAATTTCTATTTTTCCTTCCAGAGTTATTGACTTTATTCATTTAAAAAGGGTTGAGACAATTTTTAACATGTCACACTACATCTTAAGAATGTCTTGCTTAATTTTAATTCCAAGATGCAGTTTACAAATTCAACAGCATAAAGGCCTTTATTGGAAGTTTTTTGATTCAGCCATGCTGGATCTATGTGATCACTCCGGATTAGGAGATGGTGCAAAATTCTAAGAAATATAATGAAAAAAATTGTGTGTTTCTATGAATTACAGAAACTTTATACACCATTTTAATCATCAACTGCCAACTTTAAATATGTTATTTGTCCTTAAATTAAGAAAAGATTGGGCGAACAGCTTCTTTATTTTAGATATACACTTGCATATAGTTCCTTTGTAAATAAAAAATTAAGTTAAATTGCCATTTATTAATTAATGTGGAAAATGTGATTTATCAAATTTAAGCAGTTGATTAGAATAATGAAAGTGTGTTATCAGTATCTTATGTTCCTGTAAGCCATTGAATAAAATTTGGTTCAAGTTATGTATTGATATCAGAGTTGATTCCCACACTTTTTTGAAATGCTATTATTCCCATTCTTTCATAAGACAAATAAGAGTATTGATACAATACCAGTATGATAGACAACTGTCACTATTTTCAAACAATAACACTCAAATGTGTAAGTATTAATTGGATTCAACTCCACTCAACTACAATTGTAATTGACCTTAGTTAATATATCATGACAATTGATAATCATACTGGTATTGAGGTCAATAATTTATGCATTCAATTTATTACACATCTAACTTAATATACAAAATCTTGACCTCAATAATGTACCTATTATTTATTTGATCAACACTACATAGAATGATTCTGTTAATTTTGTGAAAGCTGACTGATTAATAAGATGTGGGTTTTTTTTCAAAGAAAAGACTAAAAATAAAATATGTATAAAAAAACAGATTTTATTTCACTTGTAAAATATTCTGACATAAGTTAATAACTAAGGTCTATTTAAGTTACAATTATTAGTAATTTGGTTGAAACAATAAACACAATTGCATAACTCTTATCTGAGCATTTTCTGGAATAAATGTATTTGTATATTCCCTATTATCCTGCTGTTTAACAGTACTAAGTAATTGAATTTAACTCAGCATTAGGTTTTTGTACATGTATATTTGAATACAGGAAATGTATTTTCCCCTTAAAGGAGAAAGAACACCAATTTAGACAAAGATAGTTATCTATTTTTGTGGTTGTTGAGAAAGTGTATTTTTAATGCCTTTTTAGGAAATAACTAAGCCAATTATAATTAATGGCATATGAAAAATATTGAAGATTTTCTTTAACATTCTTCTCAAAATCATTTCAAATATTTCTAAAAAAAAAAGAAGATGCTAAAAAATCTGACAGTGTCTTCAATTGAAAAACCAAAAAAATGTGCATCAATATTGCAAAATTCTCCATCTTTGGGTAATAGAATAGAAATTTTACAGTAACATTATGGAAATGAGAATAACAAAAGAAATATTGAAAATATGGTCAGAAAAAATATCAGAATAGCTACAAAATTGGCTGGATCACAACATCCATGATGCTTTGGTTAATAGCCATTTCGCCACCCATACATCTTCAACCACCCAACTTTGTTTACAGAAAATTTTATTTGTATGTCCCTGTCGCTAGACGAAGAGGCATCAAGTGTTACCCCTGTCCATCCATCCGTCCGTCCTTCCGTACGTACGTACATATGTCTCGAAATTGGTTTCTGTGCTCGAACTTATATACAATGCTTATAACCACAATATACAGATCAAGTTCGAATTTGGGTTTTGCATCTTTTACGGCTCATGGGTTATGCCCCTTTAAAACTTTGAAATTTTCAATTTTTGTGGTTTCCGTGCTTATTTGAAACTTATACACAATGATTATTACCACAATATATAGATCAAGTTTGAATTTGGGTATTGTAACTGTTACCGTTCAAGAGCTATGCCCCTTAAGAACGTATGTGGAAGCGGGGGCATCTGTGTCCCATGGACACGTTCTTCAATTCTTTAATTTATATTTTGGAGAAATAATATAAATTTCCTTGAGATTGTTAAGAATTAAAAATTAATAGAATTTTCCAACCCGCCTCACTTGCTTAAAACAGGTGGATAATCATCTACAAATTAACTTGATGTGGCCATACTGGAACTTACTGAAAACACAGAATAAAAAAAAAATTAAAATATATGGAATATGAACTTACTGAAAACACAGAATACAAAATATAATTGAAAAATATGAAATATAATATTTCGCCGCTATTTATAGAATTGTCTTCTGATATTACAATGAAATGGTCTTGTAGTGTAATCAAATAGTCTACTGGTATATAAATGACACCTCGTGGTATAAGAAATTGGTAGCTTAATATTAAATAAAGGCAACAGTACATGTAGTATACCGTTGATATTAAAATATGTCTTGATAAGATAGTAATATGACAGAATAGTATAAAAAAGTTGCTCCATGTTATATCGAGATGATTGTATAGTATACAAATTTATCGTAATAAGATAGTAACATGACATAATAGTATGACAAAGTTGCTCTATGTTATATAAATATGTATCATATACTTAGAGTAAATGACTTATAATTTTTACAGTATGATAATAGCATTAAATTTACGTGAATTCAATATTTTACGAAATGGTGTTTAGTGGGCTGATATGAAAAATTTATCACATGCCTCCAGCTATTATCACATGCCTTTCCGTAACGTTATCGCATGGCATTCCGGCGTTACTCGGAAAATTCCGGAAAATACACCTTAATGGTACGTTTTCAGTGAAAAACATATAAAAGTAGGGTACAAAACAATTATTAGGAAACAGGAAAATATATTATGTTAAAGATTATTTGGTTTCTTTGGACTTCTTAAATATATTTTTTTGAGGAAAAATACTCAGAAGGGTAATTTATTATATAAGACCTATTGTAAGCGCCTGAAATTCAAAGCATAGTAGTTTCGCCATTCTTTTTTAAATTATAATAATAGACGTCGTTGGCTATAAAGAAGGCGATAAGTACTACAATGCTATGAGGCCACCAACATAAGAGAATCAACAAATTTTACCAAAAACTCTAATTAGCATACAGCTTGATATTGTATTGCTTGTTATTGTTTTACTTGTACATATCTTCATATTTATTATCAAAACTTTACCA